TGTTTCCTGTCTGAGCTTGCCGTGACTGTGGCAGATATCCCAAGCTATCTCTATATGAATAATAATAATAATATTTATTCCCAGCTAGTGGGTAGCATACCGTCGGGCATGGTCATAGTATTACAGTCAGAAGAAAGGCATGACTGGTGGGGTTTGTGATTATTGGGAGTTTCCTGGAAAAGGGAAAGTGACGTAAACAGTAGACATTAATGAAGTAGAGTTCATCACACCTGAGGTGGCCTGGGTAGGTACCCAAAATTACAAGGTCTTTTATGTCCTATGGAGAACATATCAGATCAGATGACACGAGATCTGAACGTTAGGGTTTAAAAGTGGCGGGAAAAGAAAACAATACAAGTGAGGGCATAACAATGAGCTTCCTGACTGGAACGTGACAAAAACAAAAAAGCTTCAAACTACAGTAAGTGAAGGGCCGGAATAATGGATGTGGGAGGCAGCAGAGCTGCCACGTCATGGCAGGCCGGTTTGAACTAAAGCCCGGAACCGTCACTAGGGTTTCATGGCCTTGGGTTGTGTGACGGATGGCCACGGAATGCCATGTGGGGGTGGTGTAGTGAGGTTAAAAATGTAGTAAGGACAAATGGTAGCAGGAAACGCAGAATTACAGTGTGCAGAATAGCGGAAAATGCCAAGAGACTCACCAGTTACGCGCTGTATGACGCCTCAGAGGAAACTGGGTTTACAAAGCTCCACGCTTGTCTTTAGACAGCAACAGCTGCATTCTGAAAATGACTGACCTTAAAAACACGCAGAACCACCAGATATATTTGATCTCATGTTTCTGCAAGCTCCGGGCTGCATTGGTTGTGCGCACTCTAGTCGATGCACGTCCCTCGTAATCACATTTGCCCACATCAGCTTGCCTCGACCGCTTACCCATTATCTGCATCTAATTATCGATTATCGTTTTTGAAATCATGCAGTATCGCCTTTTTGAAGTGGTGAGGGATTATGACAACATCTGACCGTCTGTTACTTTGAACGGCATTCTAAATTACATCAAGTTGATTCCTAGCAGACGATTTTGCCACTCCCATTTTCAGTCCCCAGCATAAATACTTTCGTTTTATTGCCTCGTTTGAATGGCAGCAACGAACTACTTTAACTTATCAATGTGCCCACAATAACAGGAGAATTGTTCACCTAAAGTTCGCGAATAACCGCACTAGCTTGAGTTTGCGCAGGTGTGAACGGCGTGCCTGCTCTGTACATGGTTTTGAGATAATTTCCAAATTCAATACAGAATAAAGCACGTGAAGAGACCAGGTTTGTCACAGAATTACGCTACAGGGTAAAACAGGCAAAACCACAGGCAGTCATTAAAATACGAATTCCGCTCCACAGTGGACTCCTAACTCGTTTAAACAAATTCTCCTAAAGCTGCATCCGCATATGGAGATTTTAGGGGCCTGGTTGTCATCTGAAATCCCACACTGCCGCGGCGTGGGCAGTGATTGTGTCTTATTATAAAGGAGTCCGGATATTCCTTTCAATTGCGAGCGGCAGATTAGGCCCTCGACCGGCGCGGCCTGTTCAGGGGATTTGTCGTAATGGGTGTCCGAAAACACCAGGGGCCTTTGGAAGTCAAGAGGGGCCGCCAGAGTTATGCGATGTAGGTTAAAACAAAAGGGCATGTATCCCGACAGACCCACTTCACTGACGTTAACTCGATCGGTAAAACAATTTTCTGTCCGAAGTATGAGGTGCGGGAATAGGCAAACATAGTATCACTTGGTGCGGCGAAGCTGATCGGATCGTTGAGGTGAACAGCAGAAAAATATTTCACTGAGAATTCTTGAGGAGCTAGATCTCGTGTTTTGGTTATCGAATTGAGCTTTCTTCAGGCGACTGTGGAAGTGGAGTTCGACTGGTGATCTGGGGACATGGTGAACGAATGGACGACCAATGCTCATCGGTGACTAGCGTTTAGGAGTGAGCCTTGAGTCATTGGGCTTTGAGCATGCGGTGTGGCGGAGGTAGTCACCGAAGTGAGGAATGGACGACTAAAGAAGCCAGTTACAATGCAGAGGTATGGACGATCAGTCGGACAAGGACTGGTATGAGTACAAAAGAGAAATATGTAGGAGGACTTCGGAAGGCTTTTTTCTCACCAAGGAACGACAACGGGGGAGCGGAATATGAACGGCTTTTTATAATCACTTAGTGCTCATTTGTTACTGGGAGATGGTTGATAGGAACCGAGGGTATCTTGGGAGTGAGTTGGGGGCACAAACGGAAGTGGTGATTGGATCTAAGGTTGTTCTGCAGTCAGACGACATGCAAGGTGATTGTGGTGAGTTATGCTGACCTCTCGAGGGATGAAAATGAATAAAAATGATCAACTGTTCCCGCCATTGTCGAGTTGGTGTAATCTATGGGCACACTACTGTTGTCGGTTAGCTTGAGAGGTTGTTCCTGACAGCGATGGTGGGTCCCTGTGAGGGTGACTAAGGTGGAGAACTGACGACTAAATATCGTGCAAGAGCTGATAGCCATGCACCGCTGATGAAAAAAAGAAACTGCTCTACCTTCTGTTCAAGATATATGGTTCCAATGGGAACCTAAAATCTGGGCGTTTTTACGGGACCAACGGACCAATTGGCATGATATCGGCTCCTTTGGGTTGAAGAACGGGGGGCGTTGGGAAGGAAGCCGCGGATGTTTCCGAAAGTTGGGGTTCCGACAGGTGATCTTCGGTGGAAAATTGGGAGGATGAGGGGGCATGGACATTGTTCGGCCATAGTCACTAGAGCACGGGATGTGATCAACGAGAAGAGTAGCCGCCGGTCCGGCTGACTGGGGCGCAGAGCAGGCAGTGGACCCATTCAGGCTATGCGTGAAATTAATTGTCACCGGAACAGGAAGACAACTTGAGAGGGACATTAAAGATATCCAACTCACTGAAACTGAAGTGTGTGGGTGGATGCCTAAACCTCATCGCTAGAGGTAACAGGTGGCTGTCAGCTGTCAGGCTTGACATGCCCCAAACGAATGACAAATTAAAACGGGTGGGCATAGCACTGCCCCTGTTTTTTGGAGGTAAAAAGAAACGCCGCCAAATGGGAAGGTAACAAAGACAAGCGCTGAAATGCGTATGAATTCTAGGTATGAACTGGCAGCGACAAACTAGCCACGGGCTTACAGCTCGCAACGGCAGCGTGTCGCGCCAAGAAATTGCGCGGTCTCGCCTTGAACAACTTTTCCAGGATCATCATCTGCCGTTGTACATCAAAAAATTGAAGCGTGGTGCACGTAAACCACTTTCACGGGGCGACTGGATTGGGATCAGTTCTCCCACTTAAACGAATATCGCCCAACGAATGGCCTCCAAGTTGCTTCAAACTAGCGCTAAAATGAGCATGTTTGGAGGCTATGATCTGGGTCGGAGGTGAGGCAAGAAAGTGGCAGACTAGGCTGTGAACTGTCGAAGGGTCTTCCGTGAATTAGTGTGTTGCGTTAAGATGTGGGGTTATTGTTAAGGATAGTTTAGAGGATGCTGAAACGGGAGCCGGGTAGCTTATCTCACTATGTACCAATGAATAACTTTGAAACATATATTGGAGGCCACAGAACGGTTCGGGCAATGAAATGTGTTGTTCCAAGGGGGTCAATTGCGGTTCCCAACAGGCTTTCAAGAACAGTTGTCGCACTGCGAGCTTTTGGCTACCTAGCGGTCAACGCACGGTGGCAGTTGTTGCTGCTAGTGCCCGTATTCGGGACACAGCGGATTCTTCAAAAATGTGCGATAAGCACTCGAAATCATTTGAGGTGAGGGATATTGGCTGAGGTGCCGAAAAGAAGTTGGAAAAATAAAAAAAATTAAAAACCAGGTTCATTATTCGTATTGTGCGCCTTATCAGAATATTGTATATCGGCATCATTACGCACTATATTTCAGGAGCACACTTGAGGGAATAGTCTCCTTCAACCACCTCTCACAATGTTCGTATGGCATGGTCTGTTGACGCGTTTCACTGCAGCAGAGTGAAGGTCACATTGGAGGTCGTACGATCAGCCGATGGCCTGCTTGTCTGCCGTGGTCTTTCGTGGCTTATTCCTATTCTCGCTTGGTGTGTTTTTCTTCTGGACCTGTGATTCTCTTCAGGGAGTCAGGGGAGGATTCATTGATCCAGCCTCCTCGATTTTTGATTTCATTAATCCAAACCTATGGATGCCACTATTTTGTGGTCTTGCGTCGGGTATGTTTCTGTTTACACTCTAAAAGTTTCACAGTCGCCGTTGGCCTACTGTCACCGTGCATGGATTTCAAAATTGGTGCACATGATGTCTACAACAAGGAGTGGTCATCAGTCTTTCGTTGCGTTGCTCTTTTCTTTGGATTGAGTCACGCAACCGCTCGCATAGATTTTGCTTCATATGCCCAGCTTGTTATCATCATTGGTGGTTTATCCTTCGGACTCTGGTGGATTTTCGACCGCACTAGAGTTGGGCTCTGTTGCGGAATGGTTGCAGCTATAATAGCCACTCTCCTGGGTCATGCATTTATTCGGAGGCGTCTACTAAGGTAAGTCGCCGTGTGCACATCAAACATGATCAGACTTTCTCATCCCACCATAGCTGCCTGGATACCTTGTCTTTTCTTCTCTGGTGGAGTGACAGTTGTTCTTATCGGACGGCAACTAGCAAAGCCGGATGTTTTGGCGCGGTTCAAGAAAAAGATAGATTAACTGTGGTTGCCCATACGATTGTCCGCTGATCTGTCTACCCTGTACATTTCCACTCCTTCCTTCGTGTATATTGCCCCACTCCTGATTCTATTATACTTTGATCTCCAGCTTTTGGGTTGTGCCACTAAAACACTGCGCACTTGTTTTTTGTTGGATGTTTTCGTCGGTGAGTAGGACTTTCGGAAGTGCATAAATGAATGGTTTGCGTTCTTGGCGTACAGCACTTTGAGAGGAGCATATGACACTAGTCATGTGCGTTTCCATGCCACAAATCGTCGAGACTGGAGACTGTTACACGACACCGGAGGGAGCACCTGAAAAAGAAGGAAGGATGAAAATGTGTTGCAAAATTTTCTGGCCGGCGAAACCGTCTGAACTCGATGTCCACACCTAAAACCACTGAAATAAGTACATCTGGGCCTCTCGCTCGAGTAGGGCGGTAACAACGGGTTTGAATTTTTGGCTTATCAAACCCTTCAACATAAGACTAGCGCTTAACATACGCGCGTCCTATGTACACACAGTTCAGCTGAGAATTAATAGCAAAAGGGCTACTCCGGAAGTTTATAAACATAATACGTTCTTTGTATTCTCAGACTTCCGGACGTGTGAGAGTGTACGGAGAGCTCTCCAAAAGCTTCCGCACACAAAGTGGTGTCCGTCAGGGATGCCCACTCTCTCCATTCCTTTTTAACTTTTTGCCTGAGTGAATGTCTGGAGGTGTAGACACCTCGGAATGATTGTGTTAAGCTAGCACTAAGTCCTTCCCCCGTCCACCTTTATTCTCTTCTTTACAATAAGGCTTTCAAATAAGTCATGGTTGTACGGCAGTGAAGCATCGGTGTTGAACACTGATGTCATGCTATCGATGATGATGATGAAAGGGTCTACTGGGACCGGTTGCGTGGCGTGTCCTTTGGGGTTTCCAGCCATGTGGACCCCATTCGGGGAGGCGAGAATATTCCATAGCCTTCTCATTAGCAGGGGTCCCGCCCGTCTTCACCATCTTGACCCATCGCTTGAGCTTTTCGTCGTCAAGTGTTCGGAGTGTAAAACTGATTTCCTTGGTAGATTGGTTGTACATACATGCATCAGCTGCTTTATCCTGACAGTTCATCTACTTGAGATAATCGGACTACCCACCACACGATGACGTACCTTATCAGGTATGTAACTTACGAAGGTAGCTTTAGCCGAATATCTAACGATACTTGACATCATCAGATCGGAGTGGTGAGTCTGCTATGACAGTCCTTTTGTAATCACGGTCCTTAAGCCCAAGCCTGACATCAAAAGTTATGCGTCCACTGACTTCATTTGTCACAATGTAAGTCATGTTTTATGCAGCTGCCAAGGTAAGTGAAAGTGTCAGTAAACTTAAACTCCTTAATCTGAACGCTGCGCGGGTGTGGGGAGTTATGAAGCTGCAAACTATGCTGAATCAGGGGAACACTTCCGATGTCTGGGCAGACGGATGATCATCAAATTACATGACGATGCCGTCCGCGTTATCCTATCTCACCATTCTTTCGACAGATGCCTAGTCCCTTGGATTTTATGCTTCCTGATAGTGTCTGTGACAAGATTGAACAAAGATTGAGGGAGGGAACATCCGTGACGAACTCCACTAGTTGGGGGTGAGATTGCTCAGTGGTTAGAGAGAGAGACTCGAAACTCCGTGGGTCGAACCCGACTTTTGAATCCCGACTACTATCTAGGCTTGGGCGACCTGACGTATCCCAGCCCTCGTGCTCCCTTCGGGTGGCATAACAGCTATGCACCGAAAGGGAAATTTTTGGATAAGAACCCGAATGCTACCGAAGTATGGGAGTGAACTCCATAAACAAGGCCTAAACTTCTTCGGTATTCATCGCCGGGCAGGTATGTGTAGAAGGACCGAGCTATCCAGCAGCCGAAGGCTTTTTTGAAGTCAAGACAAAACTCCACAGCCGATCGGCGGGGCGCGGAAAGCCGCTGA